ATGAAAACATGCATGCCTTTATGCATTTTTTAAATTAGGGATAAAGAAAATAAAAAACTTGCAAAAGCTGCAGATCTCTTTGTAAGCCCTTCCTTTCTAATTCATTCCCAGACTTACTCTGCCAGTCCAATCACAGACTTTCCAATGCAGCTCAATGAGAAGTCTTTGCAAGGCAGGTGCTCTGGGTGATAGCTGCCAATTGAGTTTAGCTCCATTGAGATAACCAAACCAGGAAGTAATAGGACTTGTTGTCTGATTGACAGCCAGGGGGGGAGGAGAGGGTGTAACAAGGTTAATAAAATGTAAAATTAAAAAAAGAGGGCAGACTCTTTACACATAAAGCACTTCAGCAAGCTAAAGTGCTTTAGGGCTCTGGAGTGTCACTTTCAAATGGCCCATGTTATGATCTAGAGTTCCAGTGAGTGAGAAGCAGCACGTGAGACATGATATGTAATGAACAATGCTACTGCTACTTCAAACCTATACTTCTATGAATGGCCTGACATTGCTGAACTGCAGGTTAAATAGGGGTTCTGTTTACTTTCCTCATGGCACTAGAGTTGTGAGTTATGTCAGAAACTGATGTTAAATAACCATATAACTGTCAAAAGCTAACCCACTAATGGAATAACCATTGTCAATATCCCTGTCTCGTTCCTGGTCACAGCTTGCCAAAAGAGGTTTTGATGTTGTCCTGATCAGCCGCACTGTGGAGAAGCTCAAGAATGTGGCATCTGAGATAGGTAAAATCTATTTCTTTCAGTTCAGTATAACTCTATGAAAATTCTACTGATTTTAAAAACGTAGAACAAACATTCAATGTACTGACTTAAAAAATTATATACTTGATTTAAAGTATTTTTGCCACAATGGAAATGTATTCATTTATGTTAACATATTTTCCAGACATTCTAGACCTGTTTTTTTGTGGGCCAATCCCCATGCAAGATGAGAGGGTTAGTGTAGAATTTGCGGCCTATCAATGAAGTCCAAAGATGGACTTGTAGTGCAGAGGTTAATTGCCTGTTTCCAATTGGCTACTTAAAATCACCTAGGTTATGCAAATAAAAATTGGGATTTAGTGACACAATACAGCCATGCTGTGTATAAATCCACAACTAATTTGAAAGTACCGCAAACTTTTTGGCCCTATGCAAATGGTAACATGGAAACAAAACATGCTAAGTACTTACTGCGTGCTATTCCCTAAACGTGTATTTTACATACGTTTTAGCCTCTAAAGTAGTAATACTACTGTTATTACAAAATGTATATTCTGTGTGTGCCCTACATTAAAGGGAATTTAAAAGATTAGCATTCAGACCTTACTGGATGAGTCCACTAACATTAAGACGTAACATTGACACTCTTTTTTTTTTTTTTTTTACAGAGCAAAAATATGGTCGCAAAACTAAAATCATCCAAGCAGATTTCACAAGAGGATCAGAAATGTATCAGTCAATTGAGGATGACCTGAAAGGGATGGAAATAGGAATTCTGGGTAATATATATTTGCAATAATGATGATGTGAGACCTCTAGGGTAGAGTTTATCAGGACCGGATACCAACTAATGGCAGATTATCAGGACAGGCTGGAAAGTATGCTGCGTTCATATTTAACCTCCAAAGGACCACATGACGGTCTATCATACAGTGCAGGGCTTTAATGTCCGATTATGGCATTAACTGTCATTCATTAAAGGTACCAGCAGGTGTAAAATCCTTTGTGGTAACAAGGAACCTCAGGCATCTTTCAATACCTGGGGGTCTCTTCTGTCAGCTGGGGACAGAGTCAGTGGCCCAAGATTTACAGAAGAGCTCTGAGCAACGCTGCTCATTGCCCTTTAAATGGATTTAAATACAGCTACTGATCAATAAATCTGAATATGCAATCCCACCCATAATCTGGCACTGTCTCCATCTAGTGTCTGAAAAGAACCTGGGTAGGTCTCCTTGATTGCCACCTGCTGCAGAATTGGTGCTGGACTTTGCCAGGTGTCCAGCACCATTCTCTGTGTGTTGGAGTTGCAGCTCTCCCTGAAATGCTGGAATCACACAGTACAGAGTACTCACAGACAATTGTGGGTTGGATTATAGGTAGGATTAGATTTTGGATTAGGGGTTGCATTAAGGGTTGAATTAGGGTCAACATTAGGAGTAGGATTAGAGGAAAAGGTATGCATATGAGGTATCATTGTACTTGTGAACAATAGAAGAATACAAATTTGGGGTGTTTGCAGTAGTGGAAAACACATGGTCTATGAATTTCCTCAAACTTGTGTGAAATTTTATAACAAACTAATCTGACTTCGGTTTATGATCAAATGGTAAATGTATTTATTTGCACTTCGCATGTAGAAATTATTAAATGTTAAAAAAATGTAATTTAATTTCTTTCCCATTTTTAAAATATTTTCTTCCTATTTAATATTGTGTTAGGTACAGCTATAGGGTATCCTATGACTTCTTTAAAAAAAAATTATATATAATATGTATGTGTTAATTTCAACAGAAAAAGAGAATTTGTGGTAGAATTAACGTATGACAAAAGTACCAAAAAAGCCTTGGTCACAAACGCGTTGCATCTCACAAAAGCTTTGGTCCTTAAGGGGTTAATATCCTGCTAACATCTGAATGCATCTTATTGGGACAGGCTTGGACAGTTTTGCTTTATATATGTATAATGTCATGTCTATTCCTCACTGTGGGCTATCAAGGCAGGATCAGTCAGTGTTAATTTTATATAGTGCATAATGGGATATTTATATTTAAATTGTAGGTTATGATATAATGTGCTGTTGTCTGGCAGGAGACAGTTATTCTGTTATTCCTATTCTCCTTCACAGTGAACAATGTAGGTATGACAGTATGTGATCCTTTTGAGCGATTTCTGGATACCCCTAATATTAACAAGGTTAGTTCTCAGCCATTTAAATATTAATTGAGGTCTTTTCACTGTCTGAATGCAGTTGGGATTAACAAACTTAAGTTTCAATAACTGAATTACAACCGAACTTGCAATTCTCATTTCTGAAAGGCAAAACTGATTGAAATTAGTTTGTTTTCATTTTTTAGCAAAGTGGGCACATTTTTTTCTACTTTAGAATCAGTAATTTACATTGTAACGGATCACCTGGCACCCCGACTGGGTACCTCCATTGAAGGATGCTCCTAGAGCTTCATAAGGACTCCAAGCACTCTGGCAGACACCACAATCACCGAACCGGAGAAACAAATAAATTCTTCCAAGCATATCAATGCTGTAGACAGAAGAATAAGAACCATACGAATAGGTTTACTCTCCTAGCAGTCAAACTGGAACAGCATACAATAAATCCTTCCCCCAATAATGAGACGACACTTCACAGGGTTAAAACAGGAACTCCCTGTACTGTCACATACAGTCTCTTTTATTCCCAATCCACAAACATAGTACAGCCCACAGGGCGTTACAAAACAACCAATCAATCCGTACAATACACCCAGACACTCCCACACAAACTCCTCCCCTCTGCCTGTGATATGATTACTGAACACAATGGGTAATCTCATTATCACCGGCAGAGGAATACAGTTTTTACACAATATTTATAACTTCTAAAATATACATGTCACAAACATAAAACATACATTTTCATAATCAATCCATTCAGGGGAACAACATATTAAAAAATGGCACGAATCAGACCAGGGGATCAAAAGTTAAGGGAAAGTGCTTTGTGCTTTTAGTGACTAAATGAAGCATGGCCTTCCGTCCCAAACCAGTTTCAGAGTCTTCTATCCTGGAGATTGAATTGAGAAGTAATTCAATTATCTCCCAGGACAGACACAAGACTCCATTATGCACATGGTGAGCACAAAGCATTAAAATATTATAAAATACACAAAGTCACATTTTATACATAAAACACAGACATGTCACATATCCCCAGATAGCTGGGATCTGAGCGCACAAAACTACCGAATAGCGCTCAGATCCTATTCACACAGTTCAATTGCCATGGAGCCGAAGTCTTTAACTACACAAATGGGCTCCATGGCATAGCTATCTGGGTTAACACATTCACATAAAGTCTGGTCCATAGTCCAAAGGCAAGAGGCGGGCAAGCAGCCCCCTCCAAGGACACGTGCGAGGCCAGTTTCGCCACATACATATTTTATTAAACATTAAATTTCCCGTTCACTCTCAAAAAATCTGGTAGAATGCAAATTTGTAAAAAATACATTCTCCTGCTTTCTCAGAATTTTAGCTGGCTTTAGAATTGGCAATTGTCTGGCCACAAATTTGGTCCAGGTGAATTTTGCAAATTTGGTGCAACAAAATTGCAGGAATTATGCAATGTTACTTATTGCTAATTATTACTGTATTTTGTGCAGTCTGTATTTCCATAATTCAGTTCCATAATTCAGCTATTCTATTTTAACTAAACAGGCAGAAATCCAGTCTCCATTCTCTATAATTTGGAGGCTGTATTGCAAAATCCAGACACTGGTAAATCTTTGGAACAAAGACAGAGTTTTCCTGTTCCAATAGACATGGAACAGCTGCATTAATTTTGCTAATTTGGAGAGGGGGCATTCAGACTGTAGTGAATAAACCACATTGTACTTGTGATACCCACAGAATGTAGCTCATCTTCTTTTGGCATCTTACATGACAATGTCTCTATATACCTTGTTTGCATGATATTATGTATATTATTGATGCACATTACATCAAAAATGTCATTGAAAAAACAAAAACAAACCAAAAATCTAAAAGATGTTTTTTCATCTCTACCAGGCTATTACGGATACGATTAACTGTAACATACTGTCAGTATTGCAGGTAAGTGCCAATCCACACCTCTACTAGTGAATACAATCACAATGCTAAAGAAGTTGTCTTTACCAGATTCTATAGACGGTTTTGAAAAAGGTTAGGAATTATTCTAGAGGGAATAATCTACATTTTATTAAAGACAGGAAGAGAATATTTGCTTTACTTTCTTTACTGAAAACCTCCAGCAGCAAAGAAACAGTTAACATAACTTTTCAGAACAACCAATCAGAACAGTTCTGATTGGTTGTTCTGAAAAGTTATGTTAACTGTTTCTTTGCTGCTGGAGGTTTTCAGTAAAGAAAGTAAAGCAAATATTCTCTTCCTGTCTTTAATAAAATTTAGATTATTCCCTCACAGAGGCTAGAATAATCCCTAATTTGAAGGCAAGACAGGAGGCTTTATATTTGCAATTTTTACATAACAGTTGGGCCATCTTAGCAGAAAGCTGGCATAGCGATAAGTCCCTATTATCCAGCCATTTCTCAAGGAAGCGCAACACAAGCAAAACATCCCAAAATGAGGAATAGCAAGAAGAAGGCGGCCTTGAAAGGCACACATCTCGTAACAGTCTGCAGACTGAGGGGTCCTCACCAACGCAAGAACCTTGAGAAGGCACATGAGCCGCCAAGATAGCCGATCGGAATACATAATAGTCCTAAATGACTTACCCTGAGAAAACAATTTGTCCAGGAAGTCCAGTACGGCCATGATAGGGGCCGTAAAGGGATCCAAATGTCTCTCCAGACAACAGCCATACCAGGATCACCAGACGTGCACATATGATCGTCTGGTGTCAGGCGCCCAAAAGTCCCAGAGTAACTCTCTAGCCGTTGTTGATAGGCCTTACACATCCCAGGAACCGCGGAAACGGTCCAGGCCACCAGTGACAGATGACCCTTAGATACCAACGGGTGTGGATTCCCCGCTTCAGCCCGCAGGAGAAACTCGGAGACAGGGAGAAGTAGCGAGTCTGCGTACGATAATTCCATCAGTAGAGGGAACCACGTCGATACCTTCAGAAGCTTGAGCCGGTGCAATGTCTGGAGAAGAGGGGAAGTGCATACGCTCTCGAGGGAGGCCATTCCTCGAAGAATGCGTCCACCGCTTCGCAGGCGGATCCGGGAGCCAACGGAAGAATAAATCTGTCTGGTGATGCGCCCTGGTTGCAGATAGATCCCAGGTGGAGGGGACTTCAACTGGAGTCAAGCATCTGAAACACCGAAGGATGTAGTTGCTAAATGCTGGCGTCTCTCCAGTGTCGAGAAAAAAACAGTCTGCCATGTCCCCGGTCTGAAAGGTATTCCGTCACAAGTGATAAGTTCTTGTCCAGCCAATACTGGTAGAGATCCTTTGTCAGATCTGACAGAAGTTTGGAACGGAACCCCCCAACTAGTTTACATAGTGGACAGCTGAGACGTTGCCCATGCGTAGAAACAGCAATCAATGACTCATCCCTTTGGTGAAATTCTGATTGGCAAACAACCCCGCAAACAGTTCCCCAACAGGTGATGTGAAGTGTCTTCTCCTCCGGAGTCCAGAGTCTTCCTGTCACCACGCCATCGCAAGCAGAAAAGTGTTGTCCGATTCCAGGACGAAGACCGGCTGGGATCTGAATATCGCCTTGCCATTCCAGGCCTTCATGTGTTGATGAATGTGTCATGATGACCTGAGATCGTGCGCCTTCAGACATTGGAGAGGCCGATAGTATAGGAGTCCCGGGAATATGACCTGAATGGAGGATGACCGCAGTCCTATCGTCCGAGCCAAATCCCTTAACGTGGCCTGTGGGTTTCAGAGCAGGCATCTGATATTCTTCCTGATAGTAGATATATCGAACATTGGAAGACAAAGCACCACCTGAACTGAATCCACCACGAAAATCAGAAACTGGACTGACCGTTTAGAGCAGGGGTTCTCAACCCAGTCCTCAGGACCCCCTACCAGTCCAGGATTTGGGGATTACCTGGGTGTGTCTCAGGTGTTTAGAAAAAGGGAAAAAAGCACCTTAGACTCTAAGGTGTTTTTTTTTTCTAAACACCTTAGACACACCCAGGTAATCCCTAAACCCTGGACTGGTAGGGGGTCCTGAGGACTAACGTTGAGAACCCCTGGTTTAGAGGAAGTCAGGTCTGATTTCTCCACATTGAAGACGAACCCCAGGACCTGGAACAGGCGGATTGTGAACGACATTTGCCGATGCAGGATGACCGGATCTTCCACCATCAATAGAACATTGTCCAGATAGACGATCGATCTGATCCCTCTGACCTTCAGAGTCGCCCTGACTGGCTTCAACAACTAGGTGAAATATCAAAGCGCCGAGCTGAGGCCAAACGGAAGGCACGTGAACTGCCAGATGCGTCCCTGCCAGGGGAACTGGAGGAAAACACCTGTCTTCTCTGTGGATCGGTACCGTGAGATAAGCGTCCTTAGATCCAGTCGGGAGAATCAGTCCCCCTCGCAAAGCAGGTCCCTGAGGAGATGGATGCCCTCCATCTTGACACGTCAGTAGACGACATATGCGTTGAGGACACGCAGCTTGACCACAGGGCGGAAGTCTCCTGGTTTCTTCCTCACCTAGTGGATATCTCTGATGTCACAGGTTCTTCATCAGTAGAAACATAAAGCATGAAAAATGGAAGAAACTAAAATAATGCTCTCTGATAAGATGAGTTAAAAAATAAGATAGAAACTGTATTCACATATTTTGGAGCAGTAGGACTGCTCAGTATTTTTAGCATACATGTTATTATACCCACCATGGATAAATTGCCTAGGTAACTTCTCGTGGAATCTTCTGCAGGATGATAGTAACCAGTAAAACAAATTGAAGTGGTTAAAAAAAAATATATAGAAGGAAGTAAAATCTATTGCTGAAACACAGAAATATGTGTCATATCCACTTATTGCAAAAAAATACTTGCAACATTTCTGTGTCTGTAAAAATGTTTTCAACAAAGAAAAATTCACAACACATTTCACCTATGCAATAGACTTTATCAAGTGAATCACAGAGGTTCCAAACACACTCGGTTATATATGGCAATATAAAATTTGAAATTGGCTGTAAAATGATGTCCCTGGTGACCTGACCGCCATTGGGACCATGTGACCATGATATCATTTGACCACCAATTTCAAATATTCCATTAACATTAGGCACTTCCCAATACTTCTGTTTGTGTTTCCATGTATCTGTCTAAAGGGTAACTGAAGGAATCCCCTTTGCAGTGATTGCTGCTGCAGGTTATTTATTGTATCATTAATTAGTGCTTATCCTTCTTGTATTTGTTTATGTTTATCTATCTACTCATTAACGTACAGATTTAGCGTTCATCAATCTCTAAGCTGCAATTCTAGATTACTCTATTAAACTGTTGCTCTAGGATAAATCCTATTCTAGAATTAGTAAGTTTTTTAATCACCATTATTCTTCTAATGCATAAAACCTGGCAATAAAACCTTGTATCCATGACAATTACCTTTCCTTTCAGATGACTCGAATTGTTCTCCCACAGATGGTACAAAGGTAAACTTTATGTTCTTTATCTAAAAGTAACATAGAGCAAAGAATGGAAAGCCTAGCACTGTCGTAGATCCCATAAAGATTACCTTCAAATAATTATCCAAGGACATTCTGAGCAAGACGATCTCTCTCTCTCTCTCTATATAGATATATAATAGAAACACTACAGCGTTATTAATATAAACTTGACCTAGTTGCAAAGTATTTTTAGACCCCCCCCCACCCCGCTTCCCTCTGTTTTCAGCAAAAATGCTAAAAAAAGGTTTTTACTTTTTTTCAGGGCAGAGGGGGCCTCCCATGACATCATGTGGCTCTCAAGCCGATGGTCAATCCAGTGCTCCTCATACAAACGTATTCAATGTTTCCAATGAGCTATAACCTCACTTGATTGTGTTTCACTCTGGAATACAGCCACTACAATGCAATGTAGACATTGCAGTTTCTATAAAGGCTTCGTAGCCCATTTAGATTTTCCCCACTGCACCACTCGTACTGTTGAAGTTTGCCACCTGAATAGGTGAAGTTTGCCACCAGTGATTGGCAGGGGAAGTTCTCTAGGTATTTCTGAGGTTGGGTGGTCCTGTGACCAATTCAGCCAATAGGAAAAAAGTCCTGAGTTGGAACACTAGAAAACAGGATGAGACACAGGGGTATATGAGGCAGCAGTAAAAGTTGGTGTTGAGGTCTGGCTGTGAGAGGGGCTACACAGAGACCACCTCATTTGTGAAACAGGGTACAGCTACAGCATCCCTCTGATTAGCTTGATCCAGTGGACGCCTGGTCCAGTGAAAATACTATGGAGCTGGATTGAGACACAACAAATAGCTGACAGACCCAGGAGCGCCTTGTGCAGCTGAATAGAGTGGTAAGGAGTATCCTCTTCCCCATGTCATGCTGATAAGGCATTCTATTCATCAGACACTGATAAAGAGTTATTCAGCCCTCCCTGTGGATGGCAGTAACAATCTTCCTGTTTCAACTACTTTCACCTTGTTTATTACTTTAAAGAGCCCAAATGCTTCTATGCACCAACTGGTACCCATAATCTATGAGGGTGAATTCTGAGGGTGGGTTCCCAGGAAGGTTGGGAGGGTACTGGGCCTGGTTAGTCAGAGTGTGATGTGTTTAGTGAGGTACCATATTACTTGCCTTATCTTTACCTGTCATTATCCTTTAATTTATGTCTATGTTAGTTATTTATTATGTTAATGTCTGGGAAAGCCACTCTTGCCATAGAAGCCCAGTCAGGTGGACGTAATGCCAACATTATGTATCCCAACTCCCGTATAGCGGAGTCTTAGGATTCCCTTTTAAAGCAGCAAGATTGAGGGCCCCAGGGGTGTCAGCCCCCCGGGACAAAAGTAGTTACACTTTTTACTACTTCACTGGGATGATTTTTGAATTAATGCTGGCTATGCCTGCAAAACATTCCATATACTAATTTTTATTTGTTTGTTTGTTTGGCAATTGTTTCCATTTAAAAATCATACATTCCACATGCTAGACTGGCATGTTGATTTAGCTTGGTAATATGTATTCATAGCCTGGTAGAACATTAAAACCAAAAGATATCATGCCAGCATATAGAAATATTGCATAATAGAATTAAAGAGAATTTGTCCTAATTCAGGTAAAATCATTTCTATCCACTGACATGTTGAAACAATTCAGATACCCTTGATAAAGGCTACCAGGAGGAGCCAAAACGTTGGGGGTTAGTTTTGACTCGTGTTTCTGCCCATTTAGACTTGTGGAATGTGGTAAATATGGAATTTTGTATATTAATTGCCTAGTGAGTCACTAATTATGTTATTTGTGATGTATATGTATATGTGATGTAATAAATATAGATAGAGACTCTATACTATATGGTGTGCATTCTTTGTTACTTACTATTGATTGTTTTGGTATTTGAGGGAGTACCTTTAAGGAATAGCACCCTACTAATTGGCTATTATTATATCAAGTATTCTCTCAGTACTTCGTATATTATATGAAACAATTCAGAACAACATGTATTTGGTCTCATTCAGCCCTCTGTCTTTATTTCACCCAGAAACAAAGGTCTGATTATAAACCTCTCCTCGGAAGCTGGTAATCGTCCATTTCCTTTCTTAATCGTGTACAGTGCTACTAAGGTAAGCAGGAGACAGTGGGCATAAAGTAATGATAAAATATGAGGTTTTCATATATTGTTCAGTATTATATTTTGCACTAAATGGAAGCTCGTTTGTGGTCAGTGCATAAGGCTCGGATTATGTTTATAACAGAAATTATCCATATATGGTGTATGAGCAGTAACATAAACTGATTGTTCTCATTTATATTTTTTTTCACAGGCCTTTGTGGATTTCTTTTCAAGAGGTCTGCACACAGAATACCAGTCAAAGGGAATCATTGTTCAGGTATCGTTTAAGGCAAATAGCAAAAAGCAAATCATTTTAGTTTGCAAATTTGCCCACATCCAGATTTGCTCACGTGAATTCAGCTGAAACTCGAAGTTTTATAAATATGCGAATGCTATATGCATGCTGAGTCTGTTGATATAAATTCATACCAACCACATTTATCTTTACTAAATTTGGTTGAAATTCAGTTATTTTTATTTAAAATTGTTGCTAAGTGAATAAAAGTTTAGTTGATATTTTTTTTATTTTTTGTCACAATACTAGTAGACAGTGGAGGAAAGAAAGTACATAGAAACCAGGGAGCTAATACCACTGTGCTGTGACGTACAAATAAATTTGAAGGTCAAAGGAAAAAACTAAAAGTGGGGTAAAGAAAAAGGTCCCCACTTACCCCTTTGGGACTCAGGGTGCCAGGCAAGGAACTCCAAATCCATATGACGTAATGGGGTCCTTAGACATAGGAGTCATGTCATGTAGAGGTACATTTTTTGGGCACCTCTAGTTTGAATATAGGTATGTTTTTGTATTTGAATATAGTGTTGGCGTTTGAATGCAGTTGTGTGTTTGTATGTACTCTTGCTATTTAAATGCATGGGTGTATTTGTGTGCCGTGTTGGCGTTTGTACAGGTGATACTTGAAGAATTAGAATATAGTGCAAAAGTTCATTTATTTCAGTAATGCAACGTAAAATGGGAAACTATTATATGAGATAGACGCATTACACGCAAAGCAAGATAGTTCAAGCTGGGATTTGTCATAAGTGTGATAAATATGGCTTACACTTTATGAAACCTGTACACAAACAAAAAGAAGTCATATTTTACATATTTTTAGCCACCCACCTATTTTCATACCTTCTTGGTGCAGAATGGTGGCTTCACTGGGGTCAAGTCCTAAGATGGTACAGGCTCCCACCCTCAACACTAGCCCATCCTCCATCCCTTCCCCATGCGGCTTTCTGTAAGCTGAGAGAACGTAACCTGAATTTACTTCCTCCAAACACCATGACCGAGCTGACGATCTGACAGGAGCCCAGTAACACTGATAAAGGGCCATAGCACTTAGTCCAGGACCCTGTTCAGAGATACCCATCAGGTGGCCACCTGATGACCCCAACTTGTGGGTTCATTCAAGCTGTTAAAGGAACACAACACCCTTAAAGGGACACTATAGTCACCAGAACAACTACATCTTAATGTAGTTGTTCTGGTGAGTATAATCATTCCCTTCAGGCATTTTCATGCAAACACTGCCTTTTCAGAGAAAAGCAGTGTTTACATTGCCCCCTAGGGACACCTCCAAGTGGCCACTCCCAGATGGCCGTTCAGAGCATGGAGACGCTGAATTTACCTCAAAGAGATGCATTAATTCAATGCATCTCTATGAGGAGATGCTGATTGGCCAAAATAGTGTTTGGCCCCGCCCCATCACACCTCCTTGCCAATTTCAGCCAATCTTGCGCAGGACTTGTTTAGGGCTGGAAATAAGGTGAGCTTTAACCCCTTTTAGAGGGTGTAAGGAGGGGGCAGGGGGCAGGGGGCAGGGGGGAGGAGAGCCACCAAAATGTGGTGGTTTAAATACTATAGGGTCAGGAATACCCTATAGTGTTCCTTTAATGTATCCATGATCAGAGATTTGGGTGGCTCCTAGATTTGTGGGTTAAGTGCAGTCGCACCAGTTTCACCACCAGTAGTAATGCTGTGGCTAGTAGAACAGGTTGGTAGGCTTTGATTCATATATGAAGCAGCAAACTGACATATGTTCATATCTTCCAACACCTAATTACTGTTCTTCTCTTCCAGTGTGTGATGCCATTATATGTTTCAACAGCAATGACTTCTCATATGAAAACAGACTTTTTTGTTAAGTCTGCTGATGACTTTGCCCGGGAGGCTCTAAACACTGTGGGTTACACAAACAGAACCAGCGGCTGTCTCGCTCACTCCCTTCAGGTATATATTTTGTAATTCTTTAGGAACTCAGTGTCTCTGCTGGAGCTGTTGCCGATACCAATACAAAGGAAAGTTTACTTTAGGAAATGTAAGACAAAAAGTTATGTTTTGTATAGATGGTTTTGGGAAGGAAGCAGTTGTTTAACTAGAGACAGAAGAGATACAATCCAGGAGAAAGATCAGGTAAGCACTATCAGTAAACATGTTTTTCAGGATAAAAAAAAAGGAATATATTAGATGGCCTGTAAAGAGCAGTGTAAAATAAGAACAGAAACGGGGGCCAAGAACAGAACCTTGGGGTAATCCAACAGAAGGCAACAAAAAAGATAAAAAAGTGGTGGGAGGGAAAAAATAGACAATCAGAAAACAGCACATACAAAATGTTTAAAGGAGCACTACACTGCCAGGAAACAAACTTGTTTTCCAGGCACTATATAGTCCTTAGCCCCCCTCAGGGTCCCCCCTCCAGCTGGGCTGAAGAGGTTAAAACCTTACCTTAATGCAGCACCGGGCTCCCTCGGCGCTGGTGGCCTCTCCTCCGACGTCAGCTCCCGAGTGGAGCCGAACGCGCATGCGCGACCAGAGCCACACGCACATTCAAACCGCCCATAGGAAAGCATTACTCAAAGCTTTCCTATGGATGTTCTGCGTGCTCAATGCAATTTTCACATTGAACGTCGGGTAAGCGCCTCTAGCGGCTATCAGGAAGGCAGCCACTAGAGGCTGGATTAACCCTGCAATGTAAACATAGCAGTTTCTCTGAACCTGCTATGTTTACATCTGAAGGGTTAAAACCTGAAGCTGAAGTGGTCTAGGTGACTATAGTGGCCCTTTAATGTTACGATGGAGGTGGTCCCCTATATCAAAAGCTGCAGACATTATAAATATTGTTTGTATTCAGTACTGTTTGTATTTGGCTTGCAAATAATATCATTAACTCAATAACTGCTTTAGTTAAAGGCATTTTAGTCAACTCCCGAGAGTGGAATAAAAAAACAATCTTAGTGGGAGGTAAGACATTCACGTCAATGATTAAAACTAGCTTGTCTTTATTGATATGACAATATAGTAGCAAAATTAATCCTGATGTCTAAAGACAATGTGGTAGTATCACCTTCTAGAAGATGGGTTACTACCGCCATTCCCAGTGAATACAGCACCAAAGTGATAAAACAATCCTGCACGAAGTACCGCTGTCTCACCCAAACACTAATCGAGACTTAGTGAAGGGTGAAGAAAAACTAATTTATTAGGACAAAGCGCAAGCCTTTATACACAGACCCCAGCATGGGTTCTATTGAAAAAGACACAAGCCCACCCAGTTGCCTCTGTAATATACAGGAGCACTCTCACATGCCATACATCCCCTGAAGGTCTCTCGGGAGCGCCCATTCTGTCCAAAAAAGGGCCCGGATCAGATATGGCTAGCCATGCTTACATGGAAGTCCAAAGTTCAGCGGGACGCAACAAGCTGGGTAGAGATCCCTGGTTACCTAAAAACACAGCACTTTCCGTGAGTACATGGACTCCCCCAAGTTCTTGGTGTTGTTGGATGACTCATCACCCCCTCTGTTAACCCTCCAAAAAGTGCCTTGATTGCTCGTCCTGGGACGGAGAGCACTCTGATTGAAGTTTCAGCGGACTGCGGAGGCTCGGCAATCCGCTTTAGAGTTCCAGAGGAGTCCAGAGTTACTCCCGGTCAGGCTCACAGTGTCTCAGTGGCTCCCTCGCTGGGGAAGGATGACTCTTGGGCCGGGAACAAGGGGTGTTGGGCTGGGAGACACGGGTTGGAGGGTCACTCTATAGTGATAACATTTTATAGAGAGGGTGTGAGTTGGGGAAACATGTACTTGGGTTCGATGGTCCGTCACAGAGAAATCCTAAAACTCACATCCAGTCAAATGCCTCAAACTCCTCTGAAAGATATGAGATCCTACAGAAGCAAAATATCACCAAACATACTGTTAAAACAAAGTGTTTTTCAGAGTAAAAAAAAAAACAATATGTGTTTTACTGTCACAGTGAGTCACCAGTTAAATCTTGCATGCATTTCCCTTGTAAAGAAAATAATGATAGGAAACTGTCTCCTCGCGGAATGTATCAATATGGAAGACGTGCGATATACATGGTATAGACATCAGTCAGTAATGAAGAATTTTCAAAATATTAACTATGACAAAATTCCATTAATGACAAAATTCTATTATATTATTACATTAATTACTATTGGTCCTTTAAAATTTTGTGTGGAATTGCATTTTCATTTTTAAACTCTCAGAGAGAATTTCTGATCAAAAAAATCTTCTAAGTGTATGTAAAGTCAGTAGTCAACCAGAACTTGCCATTTTTACAGGTGGACTAATTACCTCCCAATATTTGCAAAAATGAATGAATGCTTAAGCTACATGCAGATTGCCTTGAGCACATAAAAATTCAGGATTGTTAGGCTTTTATTATTAAGTTCAATTTAAAAAATGGTTTCAAATTATATTTAAAAAACTAATTTTTTCTTTTGCAGGGTTTATTTTCTGCACAGTTAGCTAGAAACATTACCATTATTAGCATTGCAGTGAAACATTTCTTTTTGACTATGTCATAATTAATTTTGTTTTCTTTTTAATTTAATTTTAATTTCCTTTTATTTAATAGAGCTACGCCATAGATTTACTACTTCCTAAATCTGTGTTTTCAATGAAAATTGTGACAGATCTCGTTGAGAATACAATGACCAAGAATAAGAATAAGGAAAAATAAACAACATTGATGTGACTTCAATTCAACAAGTAAACATGATTGATAATAAGAAATAAAATCAACCAAACTTACATTATTTTTACTTTATATTGGTGTGTATTATTTATATGCTACAAAACAGGTCTAAAATATAGGTCTCACATATCCAAAAAAATGAATGTGAAGATTAAATATATACAGATAGACACAATACATCCTCCTATATAATCTTGTGGGGGAGATAAGATGGGTTAGAATCCCCCCAGCAATATTCTACCTTACTTACCGCGAACATTGTCATCTTTCAATTCAGCGGACAGTCTAACAAAATGATGAGGCATAAGTATCCCTGCAGTCGTTAATAATAACAATGCAATAAAATGCACCCAATGGGCAAATCACGACAGACAAAGTTTCTAAGTCACCTTTTTAGCCATCAGAAAAGTGAACGGATGCCTGAAGATTATCTCATTTGTCCAGCAGCAAGCTGCACAAGTGCTGTTTACAATCTATATGAATCCCAAGAAAATTAATCATAAACGTGGGGCCCTCCATTTTCTCAGTAGAAAGAGGTACCCCAAAATATACCATAAACCTAAAAACAGTTTCTAATAAGGTAAGACATACTTTGGAGTCTCATGGGCCGACACATAAAAAGTTGTTTAAATAATGTATTATAAAGTCAACTCCTGATTCGTCCCTGATGACCCATTTCAAAAAAGTACTAAAAGTGTAAAAATAAAAACAAGATATCGTACACCCCATAGATAGGCACAAAAAAATACCAGCAAGATGGAAGTCCAAGAGATGCACACAGTCAGGGTGAACAGGAAGCAAGTGAAAAGCCATCAATGCACCTGCCTTCTTAACCAAATCAACCACAAAATCGAATGAGGTATAACTAACCACACAAAGCTCCAGGTCTTTTCCATCATTCTCAGATCCACCTCTAGAATGAGACACATGGTGAATAAGATGGAATTCCCCTGCTCATTTTTAGTTACAAGACCCAAAGTAGATACCCAAAAATCAGGCAAAGAGGGAAGAGAAAATGGGCAGCCATCCTACCCAATCCAATATCTTTCTCAACCTTCTTTAAAGCTACCTCCAGGTGATCATGCAGGGGAACGTAGATTAGCCTTCACAACAAAACTTTTCCAGAAGTAGAAGGAATGCGGAAATTAGATGAAATCCTCCTACAGGAGCAGCATCCTCATCTAGTATCATAGATCCTATAGAGGAAACATAAGAGAGACCTATCCCTACCAACTGCCCACCAAGTTCAGCAGGTAAGTCAGCAGGGCAGGGTAGGGTCACAAGGGCAGACAGGAGAGAAGACTCACGCACCGTACCGTAACAAACAATGTGATGGACTCACTTTTAACAGACGTTAGTGAAGAGCATCCCTATTTGGTATTACCAGTTTACCCGAACACAATAGATTTCCCAGTGCTTCAGTATTTTTGTTTGACTGAACACTGACCACCCCCCGGGCTCGTAAAAAAGAAACAAGTGCTCTCTCTAGGTGGCCGGCATTCGTATAACCGAAAATAGTGGCCATTTTGTCTCACGAACGCAGTCAGCTTTTTGGAGAAAAGACACTCCCGAACAGGGAGAACATTTGCTCCCTACAAGCCAGGGGGAGCCTTTGTTTATATTTGTATAGTAACCTCCTGAAAGTTGAATGGTCGCTACCTCTTTTCCTCTGGAACTATTTTGGGCAACAGTCACGTGTCCACTTGGTCAATGCTTTACCCCAGTGATGATTCGGCTATACTCCATGGATCTGAGCGCTATTTGGACAACTTGGGTGCTCAAATCCAGGCTATCCGGGGATATAATACTTGTGGGGGTTCCTATCGATCTTGTATGTATTTTGGGGTGTTTAATGTTTTTTGTATTGTACCTCGAGTGCCTGGGAGATAATTAGTTTAAGCCAAAGCAAACTCACTTATCGCCCAGACACAGAGACGCCTGGGCGGACTTACCTATATTTTTGCTGGAGACCCCAGGGTCTGGATCTGTGTATATAAACAGGCAACTTTGCCATAATAAATCAGTTGACTTACACCTTATCAAGTCTTGGCTGATGCATGGGGATACAAGAGTTATATCATACTTTCACTCTGCTGGACTTGGGAGGCTCTTTAGCGGATATACTCAGCCGGAGTATTCGAGGATCCGTTACACCTACCTTGTCTAGGGTGCTGAGGTGCAGCATGAGTAGGTTCGCTGGGAGAGATGAGCGTTGGGGCAGTGGAACTGGGAGCAGCATTATCCCTGTTGCCCCCAACAACAATTGCCCCCAACAATTCTTGTACCCGGTGCACCTGATTGTGCACAACCACGCTGGACCCGGCAGGAAGTTGGGCCCGCCCCCTTGCGCCAGCTAGTGAGAGGGAGCCGTTGGATCAATTCTCCCTGGTAAGAGCCAGGCCGTAAGGGCTGGAGCTTTTTATTCTCCTCGTTGACTGATACGGAGGAGATGGACTCCCAGGAGGTGGATTTGCAGCGGCAGTTCCCAAGAATTTAGGGAACCACTGCTGCAACCACTTTGTGCCATTCTGAAGGGCAGCGGCCCATACAAAAATTCAAAAGCAACTCCATGGGGGGCAAAAAAAACAGGCTAAAAAAAAACTGGTAAAAGTTGACCTAAATTGGGGGGGAAAAAAGAAAGAAAAGTGACTCCTTTTCACTTACATTACAGTTAGTGCATTCACTAAGCACAGGACATGGGTAATTTAGGGTTTAGGGGTTAATGTTAGGGTTCATTCTAGGGTTAGATTTAGTGATTAGTGTCACTATGGAAAAAACATAAAACGTATAATTATTTCTAGGGTTAATTTGCTCTTTACTCCAAGGGTTAGGGGTAAGGGGTGGGAGAGGTTAAAATAGTTTACCTAACCCTAATTTTAACCCTCACTTAATCCTAAATGACCCCTGTCCTGTGCTTAGTGAATGCACAAACTATAATAAAACTAGCTTTACTTACGTTCCAGGACCTTGCTGTGGAGGCGTTCCCAGTCCAGCTGATGGCTTATCATCTGCATGCTCCCAGCCTCAGTCAGATTTCCCTACCCCATCAGGAGTGCAGCACAGGAACCTGCTGATTCCCCTCATGGGAAATTAACGTGGGTTGGAAAGTTTAAAGAGATGGGGATTTTGATGGAACACGGGCACTATGGCTTCATTAGCTGAAGGATCTTGCTACGTACTAGAGGCAGGGACATTTTTATAATTTTTTTTTCTACATACATTACATTAAAAAACAAACAAAAAAACCCCCACACATTTAAAACTAAAAAAAGGATTATTATATTTAAAAGAAATTTTGTGGTTAAAGTTGTTCCCTTAATATAAATGTAAAATAAAACAGAACAACACATGGTAAATGTTCAATGATGTAATTTCCAGAGCAGTAATAATTCCCTTTATATCAATATTTCTCCAGTAGTAAACAATGTCCGCTTGTTCTAGTCAGCTCTATGTTACATGACATAACAGCTGTTTGAACTTTGCACTAGATATAGAGATTACTAGTTAAAGGCTGGGTAGATATACAGAAATGGGACGGGCAGGTAGGATAATATTACAGAAGCAAACAGCAATTTTTACTACACTAGCTCCAGAAGGTGTGTCAGTTATTCAACTGAAAACACCATGGAGGCAAAGGCAGACTATACTCAGGCATTTGTCCTGTTTGGTAAAGTGGTCGCAATTTACCTCGTATTGTCCCAAGGATGGAAACTGATTCGAGGTATAAGAAATCACATATTGTCTGGGTGGTTTCAGACCGACTTAAAACAATATGGACGCTGGGCAGGTAAGAAGGATTAACCACTGATAAGAGGAATGATTTAGTTGTTTGCGATTTCATAGATATTATAGGCTTTGCGAACATCCTTCTCAATGTCTAAGAATATACCACGGAGGTTTGAAAAGTATGTTTTGAAATTTACATGACACACCAGGGGAAAAACACTGATAAAAAAAATGGTAAATTGACAGATTGTCTGATACTGTATCGAGTGTATAATTCAAAGAGAAAAGCAAAACACCATCCCCAGATATTCAGTATTACCTATGATTAGCATGCATTAGATATTCAATTACTACAATGCTATGATTCTACAAAATAACTTTTTAGTTACAAAGACCAAAGCTTGGTGCTACTAACAAAAATGGGATATCTAGGGAAAAATTGATATTTCACTACCAGCGAATTAAATTGTTCTGCTAAAATACTATGGACCAATGTTTATATACTAGGTCCCATCTGTTATTTAAATCTTATTATAATGTAGGGACTAGTAAGACCATACTATGCATTCAGATTCCTTAAGGGACACTTCACTACCCATATACAATTTTTTATTTTTTTTATTAAATCACTGTTTACTAGATATACCTTCAATTAAAACATTCAAGAATTTAATTATGCATTTTTTTTTCATTGGGGCTATATCTAAAAACAGCTTTCAAAACCTGCAGTTCTATTGTCTGCAGCCTTTGCAAGCCCTCCCCTTCTAACCCTGCTCAGGCTTTCTGTGGCTGTCCAATCACAGACTTCCCAATGCAGCTCAATGAGCAGTCTTTGCAAGGCAGGTGCTCTGGGCAATTGCTGCCTCAGCTTCACTGAGCTAAACAAACCAGCTTCACTGAGCAACTGTCTGAGAGCGAGGGGGTGTAACATGTCTAAGTTATAAAAGTGCCAATTTGTATTGAAATATGCATACTCTTTACGCACATCAGTAAGCTGAAGTGCTTTAAGGATCTGGAGTGTAACTTTAAATTTCACTACTTTGCTTTGCAATGCACTACTTTGTCTATGGGTTTGCAAAAACTTTCTTGTGTTTTTATTGTGTTCTGGGAGGTGGAGGACATATTTGACAAAGTAGATACTGCACTCTGCCGCCTATTCCATGTGTTGGAGAGTGGTGGTGTACTTAACTGAGTTAGGTGCTAGGTTTTAAGATTTGGAATGGACGTGTAATGGTAAATATTAGGCATGGTGATACCTGTCACCTCCCTCAAATACTGAAATAATTATTTGCAAAGTCATCTGCCAAGAGTTTATTAACAGATGGAAAATGGGCCAGCATTTTAAAGAATTTCATACCAGGCATCATTTTACCATTGTTGTCAGGATATGGAAGGATCCTCAGCAAGATACATATAATTCAGCAACCCAGACAAAGGCACATTAGGAAAAGATAGACAGTTGTTGTATTATACCTTTTGGAATGTCTGGGCTTAATGCTTATGTAGAAACATCATTATATAGAAGTATCAGCACTAAACTATCCAAAACACATGCCAGGTCTAGTTACGTAAAATAAGTTGGTTCTGAAAAACAGAACTAGGACAAAGCAGAGTCAGGAATGAAGACAGGTCTGGTACGCAGGAACACTGGACTGGATAAAGTCAAAGTCAGGGATGTTGCCAATGTCTGGTAAGGAACTAAAAGACTTCAGAATTTTTCGTAAGTGTACTCGATTTTTGACACAAGCATCTAGATGGCAAAATCAAAAGATCGCCTTACAACCATTTCATATGTTGCATTTGAAAAACATTTTCCATGCTACTTTCCCGGACCTCAGCAGGCCCAGCTACAGGGCAGATGGCCCCCTTTGTGGTCCTCCACCACACACTTGACTCTTCAAAGCCGTTCCTTCCAGTGGCCTGGCCTTCTTGGCCCTCCACTTATTCTTCTTGCATATGTGCCTCCTGTCCCATATTGTGCTTGACTTCCCTCCTGTTGTCACAGAGTCTGTGTTTAATGCTATGGATTGAGTGGGGAATATTAAGGTCTCTGACTGCACACCGTATATCCTCCAACAGATGTTTGATCACACTAACTCTCACATTAGGGTTCTCCAGCCCTCTACAGATTTACCTCAACCAGAATTGCCTTTTCCTCATCTGCATGCTTCTTTACTCCCTGTCATCCCCTTATTTCAGAATGAACAGCAACCTCTTATTCTCCTTCCTGTGATCTTAGAACAAGTCTACCTGCTCTGGTCTGATCCTGCAGACTGTGACTGCCTAACAGTGGGGTATTCTACTCTACTCTGTTGTAATGAAGCAGGATACATGTACCCAATGGTGTAAGTTCACATTCTTACAGAGGGATCATAGGGATTTAGGAGTAGGACGTGTTTGGAGTTAGAGGCACCAATAGCTGAGGCTGTGAAATTTAGGGGTTAAGCAGGAAGTGCTTGAATTGAGATTTAGATCTAAAACAAAGGAAAGGGTTATCTACAGTAAGAACAATAATGATTTTATAGCCTATATAACTAGGTAAGTTGCCCTAGTGCAAATCCTTGGCCTTCCTAACCCAAGCCTTGACGTTTGCAGTGGTCATTTTTAACAGCACGGTTATCTAACAGTGACATTTCAAATTAATATTATTATTTTTTCAATATTATTACTATTTTCATTTATATGGCGTCAACATATTCTACAGTGATTAATAATTGGAGAATGGGCATATTTGACAACATGAAACAAATATTGATTGTACAGGGGCAAAGTTGGATTTCTACAGAGTGGTCTAGGTGAATTGTTCAGTAGCTGTATAATGTATATGATGTATTGTTATATCTCGCTTTGCAGTGGTAACAGGAGCATCAGATGGAATTGGCAAATCATACGCTCGAGAGGTAAGCTTTATACATTTTTTCAAGGTTTATAAGGTTCAGAAAGGTAATTTGTTAAGGTTCTTATGGTTAAATCTGCTTTTTAGTTTTAGTTGGAGATCCCAATCTGTGCAGTTTGCATTGTGAGTGTTTGTTGCTTCATTTCAATACTCTCATAGCTGTAATAAAAAAAATTATATATCCAAATAAAAATAATGTATATCTGAAGTAAATAAATAAATAAATAATAATAAAAATAAAAAAAACACTGATCAAGTGCCTCCAGCCTTTTGTAGGCTTGTCTAGGTGTACCCCCATTGGATAAAGCTTTTAAATATGTATTTTTGTAGAAGTATACAATCAAAACAGAGATTTCATGTTTTAATGTCTTTTCTAATAAATGTAAATTTGTCTTGTTAGTGGCTCCATCAGTTTTAGATACGATATCATTCACCCCAGCCCTTACTCTCTTGTCTATGCGGCTTTTAACATTTGACATTTTAAAACAATATCTCATTTTTTAAATGGAGAAGATGTGTAAGTCTATGGGATGCTTTTGGGACACACACTTTGACAGATCCACCTTGATTTCGTTCTTCTATTTAGAAGCCTAATTTTTTATAGTTTTTTGGGGAGAACTGTCTCATTGGTATGCCTTTCCCCTATTTTGTTATTCTTTCTTTCTTCCCTCTTCTGCTAATTCCAGAGTTTGGTTATTATTTTATTAATTAATTTATTTTGTTTGTTTTTTTACAAAAATCAAGAGGTGGTTGCTTTTTATTAGGTCTTTAACCGTTTAGAATTTTTATCCATTTTAATGCTTTAACAATGTTTTGTTTTTTTCTATTTTTTTATTTATTTGGTTCAGGCAATTTGCCTTATAATAAGTTACATGCTATGTGCAAAACTTACATTGTATTTTAATGATCATCATGCTCTTAATTTGCATACTCGAGTGTTTAATTTGTTACCGTTTATTGTTCTTTGTACCTCATTATATGAGGTCTACAACGTTACTATTTTCCAGCATAATGGTTCTCATTTTATTAAAAGTAAGGAAATCCTTTCACTGTGAGTTTATGCAGCTAGATCTTTGTCAGAAACTGAAACCAAATAACCATATAACTGTCAAAAACTAACTCACTTATGCAATAACCATTGTCAATATCCCTGTATCATTCCTGGTCACAGCTTGCCAAGAGAGGTCTTGATGTTGTCCTGATCAGTCGCACTCTGGAGAAGCTCAAGAATGTGGCATCCGAAATAGGTAAAATCAATTTCTTTCAATTGATTTTAAAAATATAGAACAAGCATTCAACGTACTGACTTAAAAAAATAAATACTCAATTTAAAGTAATTTTGCCAGAATTAAAATGTCTTTATTTTTGTTAACATGTATCCTAGATAGGTGTTTTGTGTCCCTATGCCCTACCCCAAAGATGGGAGGGCTAGTCTAGAATTTGCAGCCTATCAATGTAGTCCAAAAATGGACTTGTAATGCAGAGGTTAATTACTCATTTCCAAAAGGCTATTTAGCCAACTGTGTTATATAAATGAATATGGGGTTTTAGTCACATCACATGTTGTACTGGGTATAAGCCCGCCACTACTTTTGAAGGTACCCCAATTTTTTTGGCCATACCCAAATGGTAAAAAGTACTTACCGCTTTATTTGCTTGAGATAGGAGATGTGACATTGGACTCTAATCACATTCTCCACAGAATAGTTATTTTTCACAGTTCCAACCCCTTGATCTGAGCTATCCGGGATATAATAAACGTGGGGGAAACCTTTTGGTAATAAATATGTGTTTATGGTTGTTATTGTTAGGCGCCCTGGTGTCTGGTAGATAAGTAGATTATCTTGTCCTATGTCGGCTATGTCCCAGACACCAAGACTGCCAGGTTGTGCAATGTCTATTGTTTTCATAATAATCCCCTGTTGGGAATGTGTGTGTGTATATATACCTGTGTGTTTTGAAATAAACTTAGACCTGTTTCATCCTTCATCAAACCTTGGCTGATGTTTTGGACAAGCTATAATCACTCTAGCTACTATGTCCCAGGGGAAAGGGAAAAGTTATAATCACTTTGGCTGCTCTGTCCCAGGCGGAAGTGACAAGCTATAATCACTTTGGCTACTCAGGAGAAGGGATACTTGGCGGAGATACTCAGCCTGAGCATAGAAGCTCCGTCACAGGTGATTTAACATTTTTTTAACTGTGTGCTGTTCCCTGAATGCGTATTTTGCATACATTTTAGTCTCTACAGTAGTAGTGCCACCGCTATTTAAAAAATGCATATTCTGTGTGTCCCTACAATACATTTTTTTTTTTGCATTAAAAGGATTGGCATTCAGACCTGAATAGATGTATCTTCTAAAATTTTACCTAATATTTACACTTTTATTACAGAGCAAAAATATGGTCGCAAAACTAAAATCATCCAAGCAGATTTCACAAGAGGATCAGAAATGTATGAGTCAATTGAGAACAACCTAAAAGGGATGGAGATAGGAATTCTGGGTAATATATATTTGCAATTATGTTGATGTAGGACCTTTAGTGTAGAGTTTATCAGGACAGAATAAAACTGTGCTGTGTTTATATGTAATTTTCCATGATACCAACTAACTGCCGATTATCAGGACAGGATGAAAAGTATGCTGGGTTTATATTTCACGTGAAGGTCTATGCCGTCATGCAGTTTAGGGCCTTAATGCCATATGATGACATAGACTGTCATACAGTAAAAGTGCCAGCAAAGGTTAAATAACTGCTAGTACCAAGAAACCCGAAATATCTTTAGATAACTGAAAGTCCAATATATCAGCTGGGAACAGGGTTAGGTGCCCCAGAGCTATGAACGGTAAATGGATTTAAATACCTCTGCTGATTAATCATGCTCAGACGCTGTAAATATGAATATGCAATTTGGGGGTTTTGCAGTAGTGGGACACATGGGATTTATGAAATTCCTGAAATAAAACGTGTGAAAAAAAGGCAAAAAAATTTACTAATTTGACCTAGGTTTGTGATAAAGTGGTTAAATTAAGTGCTTTAAAATGCTCTTAGTTACCAAGCCTGGGGGATGTACATTCTACAAATATATACTTTTATGTAGTGGTATTGGATTCTGTGACTATTATTAAATTTGTAATCTCAGCATTCCAAATGTTGCAAAGTTTTAGCTTTAAAACTATATAAAGCAGTATTTGTTTTATAAATTCTAAAAATGTATTGAAATCTTAGACATGTGCATTTTAACAATCAGAACTAATTAGTGAATGTATTTTGAGTTCAATTTAGCTGCACTTGATGTGTAGAAATAATTAAATGTAAAAATGTTTTATTTAAAGTTTTACCCCCCACATTTTAAATTAAGATTAATTATATATTACATAATGGGATATTTAATTGAAAAATCCGAGATATTGTGCTGCTGTCTGACAGGAGCTTATTCTCATTCACAGTGAACAATGTAGGTATGATCCTGTCTAAGCATCCTGAGCGATTTCTGAATATCCCTAATATTAACAAGGTTAGTTATCAGCCATTTAAATAGTAATTTGGGTTAATTCACTTTCTGAATGCAGTTGGGGCAGCAAGTTTCATAAAAAAAAAAAAAAAAAAGAATTACAAATTAATTTGCAACTTTCATTTTGTCAAGGCAAAACTGGTCGAAATGAGTTTGTTTTATTTTTTTCAGCCAAATGATCAGATTTTGTTCTACTTTAAGATCAGTAATTTACATATTGTATTAAACATTACATGTTAACCCGTTCACTCTCAAATCTGTTAGAATGCTAATTTGCAAATACATTCTCCTGCTTTCTTTGAATTTTAGCTGGCTTTAGTATTGGCAATTGTCTGGCCACAAATTTTGTCCCTGTCAATTTCTTTCTTCCCCTCCCTGTCAATTTATTTCCCCCTGTCATTTCTTTCCCCCTCCCTGTCATTATCCCCAATCAATTCCTCCCCACCCTGTCAATTTCTTTCCCCCCTGTCCAATTTCTTTCCCCCACATCTTTCTCCCCATCCTCTTTTCCCCTCCCCTTGTCCTCTCTTCTCCCCTCCTTGTCATTATCTTCTCCCCCTTTCACCCCCCTCCCCTATCCAATTTCTTTCTCCCCTGTCAATTTCTTTCCCCACCCTGTCAATTTCTTTCTCTCACCTCCCTGTCAATTTGTTTCTACCCTCCTGTCAATTTCTTTCTTCCCCTCCCTGTCAATTTTATTCCCCCTCTTCAATTTCTTTCTCCCCTCCTGTCGAAATTTCTCCCCTCTCTTGTCACTCTTCTCCCCCCTCTCCCTCCCTTGTCACTCTCTTCTCCGCCTCCCTTGTCACTCTCTTCTCCCCCTTGTCCCTCTCTTCTCCCCCCTCCCTTGTCACTCTCTTCTCCCCCCTCCCTTGTCACTCTCTTCTCCCCCCTTGTCTCTCTCTTCTCCTCCCGTTGTCACTCTCTTCTCCTCTCCCCTTCCCCACTCTCATTCCCCCTCCCTCCTCTGTCACTCTCCCCTGTAAATTTCTTTCAATTCCCCTCCTGTCAATTTCTTCCCCGATCAGTTGTTCTCCCCTCCCTGTCAATTTCTTTCTCCCCTCCCCTGTCAGATTTCTTTTCCCCCTCCTGTCAATTTCTTCCACCAGATCAGTTTATTTCTCCCCTGTCAATTTGTTTCTCCACTCCCCAGTCAATTTCCTACCTCCCTGTCAATTTCTCCTCCCCCCTCCTGTCAGTTATTTCCTGCCTTCCCTGTCCAGTTTATTTCTCCCCACTCCTGTCCAATTTATTTCTCCCCAATTTCTTTCTCCCCCTCCCTGTCCAATTTATTTCCTCCCCTGTCAATTTATTTCTCCCCCCTCCCTGTCAATTTATTTCTCCCCCTCCTGTCAATTTCTTCCCCATCAATTTCACTCTTCTCCCCCCCATCCTTGTCACTCTCTTCTCCCCTTATTCCCTCTTCTCCCCCCTCTCCCTCCCTTGTCACTCTCTTCTCCCCCCTCCCTTTTCACACTCTTCTCCCCTCCCCCTCCCCACTCTCATTCCCCCTCCCTCCCCTGTCACTCTCACCCCCTGTCAATTTCTTTCTCCCCCCATCAATCCAAACACTCCCCTCCCTGTAAATTTCTTTCTCCCCCAACCCCCCCCAACCTCCCCTCCCTGTCAATTTCTTCCACCTTCCCCTCCAGATTTATTTCTCCCCCCCCCAAACCCCCAACAACCCCCCCACCCCCCAAAACTCCCCCTCCTGTCAATTTCATTTCTCCCCCCTCCTGTCCAGTATCTTTCTCCCCATCAATTTCACTCTTCTCCCTTCCCTTGTCACTCTCTTCTCCCTCCTTGTCAATCTCTTCTCCCCCCTTGTCACTCTCTTCTCCCCCTTGTCACTCTCTTCTCCCCTCCCCCTCCCCACTCTCATTCCCCCTCCCTCCCCTGTCACTCTCACCCCTGTCAATTTCTTTCTCTCCCACATCAATTCCCCTCCTGTCAATTTGTTTTCTCCCCTCCTGTCAGTTTCTTTCTCCCCCCCTGTCATTTCTTTCTCACCCCCCCTGTCAATTTCTTTCAATTTCTCCGTCAATTTCTTCCCCCCTCCTGTCCACCACCTCCCGTCAATTTCTTTCCCCCCCTGTCCAATTTCTCCCCCCCTGTCAGTTTCTTTCTCCCTGTCAATTTCTTTGTCATTCTTTCTCCTGTCAATTTCATTCTCCACCCTCCCTGTCAATTTCTTCCCCCCTCCCTGTCAATTTCTTTCTCCCCCTCCCTGTCAATTTCTTTCTCCCCCTCCCTGTCAATTTCTTTCTTCCCCCTGTTAATTTATTTCTCCCCCCCTGTCAATTTCTTTCTCCCCCTTCCCTGTCAATTTATTTCTCCCCCCCTCCTTGTCAATTTCTTTCTCCCTCCACCCCTACCTCTGTTGTAACGTGGCTGAGCCCTGTATAACCATACAGGGCTCAGCCACGCTACATTGAGGGAGTGACAGGAGGGAGCGCTGAGTGCTTCCCTCCTATCAGCCCCTCTCCTCATGCTGCGCCCGGGCGGTGCGCCCTCATGGACGCACCAGCCTGGGCAAAGCTGCAGCCGCCTGAGGCTCTCTACAGAGCGCTCGGGCGGCTGCAGAATGGGGGGGGGGAGGGCGGCGCTCCTGGTGCTGCCTAGTCCGCCTAACAGGTAACGCCGGCCCTGTCTATATACCTTGTTTGCATGATATTATGTATATTATTGATGCACATTACATAAAAAATGTACTTAAAAAAAGACTAAATAACCAAAAATCTAAAAGATGTATTTTCATTTCTACCAGGCTATTACGGATACGATTAACTGTAACATACTGTCAGTATTGCAGGTAAGTGCCAATCCACACCTCTACTAACGAATACAATCACAATGCTCAAGAAGTTGTCTATCAGATTCTATAGATTTTTGCAAAAAAAGGCATTTTTGCACAAATAGAATATTCAAGATTATAATTGATATGTATGTGAGCAGGATGTTAATCCAGGGAGAAATCTGAATGCCATTATGTCAAGGGGATTTCCCCCCCCCCACACTTTTTGTGACTTAATTGGAAATGGCTACAAATGGATAGTTTTGCCCTCTTTTAGATAAACAGTATAAAAGAATGGATTTTAAGATTGAACTTGTTGAACTTTAGTCTTTTGGATTACTATGTAACTATATGTAATGCTGGAAGTAGTGACGTAAGTGAGACATGCCATGGATATACATTCTGGTGCACAGTGGTCAAGTCCTGGGAACTCACCCAAGATCTGCTCTCCCCCCCCCCAGCTGAAAAAAACTCCAATTATACACTCGTATGCAGGGGCTGAGTAAAGGCACTGGGCTTAGTAAGGTGGCAGGGGCTGAGTAAGGTGGACAGGGGATGAGTAAGGTGGAAAGGGGCTGAGGAAGTGGGACAGGAGCTTAGGAGGGGTGGGACATGGGCTGAGGAAGGGGACAAGGGCTGTAGGTTACAGGAGCTTAGGAGGGGACAGGTGCTGAAGAAAGGGACAGGGGCTGAGGAAAGGGTCAGGGGCTGAGGAAAGGGATAGGGGCTGAGGAAAGGGTCAGGGGCTTAGGCAGGACAGGGGCAGAGGAAAGAGACAGGGGCTGAGGAAAGTGACAGGGGCTGAGGAGGGGAACAGGGTGTCCCTGAGGAGGGGGGACAGGGTATCCCTGAGGAAGGGGACAGGGTGTCCCTGAGGAGGACAGGGACTGAGTGAGGTGGACAGGGGCTGAGTAATGTGGACAGGGGCTGATGAAGAGGGACAGGAGCTTAGGAGGGGGGTGACATGGGCTGAGGAAGGGGACAGGGGCTTAGGGTTACAGGAGCAGGAGGGACATGGAGCTAGGGAGGAGCACAGAACATTAGGGGAGGGGCTGAGTAATGTGGACAGGGGATGAGGAAGAGGGACAGGAGTTTAGGAGGGGGGTGACATGGGCTGAGGAAGGGGACAGGGGCTTAGGGTTACAGGAGCTTAGGAGGGGGACAGGTGCTGAGGAAAGGGACAGGGGCTGAGGAAAGGGACAGGGCCTGGGTAAGGGGACAGGGGCTGAGGGGGACAGGGTGTCCCTGAGGAGGGGGACAGGGACTGAGTGAGGGGGACAGGGCCTGAGTGAGGGGGACAAGGCCTGAGTGAGGGGGACAGGGTGGGACTGAGGAGGCGGACAGAGACTGAGTGAGGGGGACAGGAGCTTAGGAGGGGGGGGGCAGGGGCTGAGGAGGGGGCAGGGCAGAGTAAGTGCTTTCCCCCCTCCCTGAGGCTTACCTTGGGCCAGTGAGGGGTGAGACAAGATCTGGAGCCTGCAGCCAGTGGAGTCGGCCGGCCCTACTGATGATGTCAGGAGGAGGAGGTGTGACTTCCTCTGCTCTTCTTATAGACTCCCCAGCGGTCCTTGGAGAAGAGCAGAGGAATTCACGCCCCCTCCTCATGACATCATCAGTAGGGCCGGCTGACTCCACTGGCTGCAGGCTGCAGGGAGAGAGGTGAGTTTAGAAATCCGAGTCCCCAGCCAGAGGCAGGACTAGTAATGGGAACGGTGTTCCTGCTGTGAAAAAAGTGCAGGAACGCCGTTCCCATGCGTTCCTGCAGGACTCGAGCCCTGCTGGTGCAGCTCAAGGTGTTGGCAAGTTGACCACCATTCCCAGGTCTATGGCTTACTTCTGCTCCCAATCTGTAATGATATTTATCCTTTTTAACTGTGTGATAACGTCATGCTATTTTCAGTGTAGGGAAAATATAATGCCACTATGATGACTGTTGCCTTTTATAGTCAATGTGTTGATAGTAAAATTATAAATTAAATCGCCAAAGGTTACACAGGGCTACAAGCAATCTGTGATACAATGAAAGACAGCGTAAAATGAAACATCTATATCTATATATATAGATATTAATTTACAGATTTAGCTTTCATTAATCTCTAAGCAGCAATTCTAGATTGTTATTAAGCTGTTGCTCTAAGATAAATCCTACTGTAGAATTAGTAATTTCTTTATTCATCATTATTCTTCTAATTGCATAAAACCTAGCAATAGAACCTCATATCCGATAGACAAAAAATGGAGTTCTGCGCATCAAGTAGGTAGTGCACACCCAGGTGCTACTGCAGTTTATTACAGGACACAATATAAACAAACGTTTCGGGCAACAAGCCCTTCCTCAGTGCTTGTTGCCCTTCCTCAGTGCTAATGAGGAAGGGCTTGTTGCCCGAAACGTTTATTTATATTGTGTCCTCTAATAAACTGCAGTAGCGCCTGGGTGTGCACTACCTACTTGATGCGCAGAACTCCATTTTTTGTCTATCTGCTTGTTACACTGTTGGAACTACAGTAAGGAGACCCTGCAGCTAGGATTTAACTGTTCATTATTGTGTTCTTTATCTTTGATAATCGGTGGGCATCATTGATGCCTCTGCCTCATCCTATGCATAGAACCTCATAACCATGACAATTACCTTTCCTTTCAGATGACTCGAATCGTTCTCCCACAGATGATAGAAAGGTACATTTTATGTTCTTTATGTAAAAGTAACAGAGCAAAGAATGGAAAGCCTAGTACTGTGGTAGATCCCATAAAGATTACCTTCAAAGAATTATCCAAGGACATGTTGAGCAATAATGTAATGCATTGACACTATCATACATGCCTAAAGCCTTCTGGCTATTTGTGATAAGGCAAATAGTATATACACTAAAATTGAATAAGAAATGCGACAAATAGGAGTGATCCCAGGTGTACCTCACTAACACCAAGTAATAAAATAAAGACAAAAAGGTGGGAAAAACACCCAAATAAGCGTACAAAAAAGTACAACCTGGAGAAATGGGTCCAGGACAGGTAAGGCTTTAGAAAGTAATAACAAATCTAAAATAATCAAAAAATATCATAGCGTAATACAGTTTAAAATGTAATAGAAATGTGTGGTGCTAGTAGCAAACTCAGAAACGTGGGTAGAATGCAGGCTTCTCACGCCACCTGGGGTTATCTATACTCTGAATTTGATAGCAGATTCTGAGGTGTAAAATATCTTCAAAGGAAAATAGGAAGAAAACCATTTATGGTGAAGTATGTAAGAAAATAGAAAACGATTTATTTGAATGCACTTACAAACAGGTAGATGCTATAGCCATATCTCCACTTCGAGTGGAATAAAAATGCAGTGTGGTGGGTCTGGAAAATAGTCCAACTTTGGCCGCAGGAAAATAAAAGAAAGATATACAATAAAAACAAACATACATATCAAAAGTCTATAAATCCGACACGTTTTGTCCAAGGAGCAGGAAGGACTTCTTCAGGGATATGATGATTCTTCAAATGGAAAGCTTCTCTTTACCCGTAATAATTCTGCTTAATTCGATTAACCGGTGGCGTTTGTTCCACCACTGGAACGCAATGACAGACTTCCTGTAGCGTCTTGATCAGGGCCGGATCAAGGATTTTTGCCGCCCTAGGCAAAAGTAAAGTTTGCCGCCGCCGCCCCCCATGTGACATCACAATGCCCCACCCATATGATCTGCCACGTTAACTAACGCCAGTGCTGGAGTGCCGCCGTGTTTACATTAAAAGGCCTGCAGGGACAGGCTATAGACATCAGAACCACTACATTAAGCTGCAGTGGTTCTGGGGACTATGGTGTCTCTTTAATGTGAGGTAAACTAGAGAATAGTGCCACGAATAATATTCTATATTGCCTACTTACAACCAGATGAGGATGATGATGGCTTCTAGCTGCAGTCTGGCTCCACAGGTCTGGTGTAGAACAGGCTCTCTGGAGACTGTTTGTAACTATGGTCACAAAAATCAATGTTCTGGGAGAACGGGAAGCAGCTCCATTTTTTTGGGGCCCTTTACACAGCTCAAGGTCTGGGTCCCTCCCCTGTCACTCTCACCCCCCTGTCAATTTCTTTCTCTCCCCCATCAATTCTCCTCCCTGTCAATTTCTTTCTCCCCCCTCCCTGTCAATTTCTTTCTCCCCCCTCCCCTACCTCTGTTGTAGCGTGGCCGAGCCCTGTATGGTCCGCGGGTACAGGGAGCTTTTGTTTCCTTTACCCGGCCGGACTAACAGGAAGTGCACACTCAGTGTTAGTCCGGCCAGGTAGAGGAGACAGATGCTTCCTGTACCCACGGACCATACAGGGCTCGACCACGCTACAGTGAGGGAGTGACAGGAGGGAGCGCTGAGCACTTCCTGGACGCACCAGCCCGGCAAAGCTGCAGCCGCCTGAGGCTCTCTACAGAATGCCCGGGCGCTGCAGCATGAGGGGGGCCGGCGCTCCTGGCGGCGCCCTTTCCCAAGAGGCACCCTAGGCGGCTGCCAAGTCAGCCTAACAGGTAGCGCCGGCCCTGGCTGCAGGATGAGGGGGGCCGGCGCTCCTGGTGGCGCCCCTTCCCAAGAGGCACCCTAGGCGGCTGCCTAGTCCGCTTAATAGGTAGCGCCGGCCCTGGTCTTGATACTTCTATTTTCTTACATACTTCACCATATATGGTTTTCTTCCTATTTTCCTTTGAAGATACTTTACACCTCAGAATCTGCTATCAAATCCAGAGTATCGTTAACCCCAGGTGAGGTGAGAAGCCTGTGTTCTACCTACATTTCTGAGTTTGCTACTAGCAACACACATTTCTATTACATTTTAAACTGTATCACGCTATGATATGTTTTTATTATTTTAGATTTGTTATTACTTTCTAAATCCTTACCTGTCCTGGACCCATTTCTCCAGGTTGTACTAGATTTTATTTTTTTATTACGCTTATTTGGGTGTTTTTCCAATCTTTTTGTCTTCTGGCTATTTTGGCCTTAAATGTAAACTCCCTTGTGAAATTTCTGACAATTTACTGTTTAGTATAGAAACACTTGTATTCCTAATCCTAAAGAGATCAAGTTGTAGAGTAGTTTTATACTACTGCTAACCTTTCTGCCTATCACAACATCATCTGGCTCTCGAGCCGATGGCCAACCCAATGCTCCTCATGAAGGAGCAATATTCAATGCTTTCCTATGAGCTGTAACCTCACTTGATCATGTTTCACTCCGAAAGGCAGCCACTAGTATGCAATGTTGACATTGCAGTTTCTATAAAACTTTTTACCACTGCACCAAGACCACTTCATTGAGATGCATTTCAACTAATGTTGGCTAAGCCTGCAAAACAGTCCTTAAACTAATTTTTTTTTGTTTGGCAATTGTTTCAATTTCGTAGCCTGGTAGAGCATTAAAACAAAATGAGTTAAAATGGAATAAAGGGAGATTGACCAAATTTAGGTAAATCATTTCCAAACACTGACCTGTAATAATTAAGAGCAACATCTATTTGGTCTCAATCAGCCCTCTGTCTTTATTTCACCCAGAAACAAAGGTCTTATTATAAACATTTCCTCGGAAGCTGGAAATCATCCATTTCCTTTGTTAATCGTGTACAGTGCTACTAAGGTAAGCAGGAGACAGTGGGCATCAAGTAATGATAAAATATGAAGTTTTCATATATTTATTTTGTATTTAATGGAAGTTAGTTTGTAGTTTGTGGTCATAAGGTCACACACACACACAGCACCTCCTCACACACACACAGCACCCCCTCCCCACATACACACAGCACCTCCCAGACCCACAAAACCCCTCACACACACAGGTCATAAGGCTTGGATTATGTATATACAATGTACAAGCGGTTACAAATTACTGATAGTTCTTATTTGCATTTTCTTTAATAGGTCTTTGTGGATTTTTTTTCAAGAGGTCTCCACATAGAATACCAGTCAAAGGGAATCACTGTACAGGTATCGTGCAAGGCAAATAGTAGTATGCATGTCATTTTATTTTGAGAATGTGTATTTACTCAGAGTGAATTGAGCTGAAATTTGATAAATATGCAAATGCCATATGCGTGCTGAGCATTTTGAAATAAACATTTGTCTTTAGTAAATTTGATAATTACAGATTTGGTTTAAATTCAGTTATTTTTATTTTTATTTTTATTTTTATTTAAATGTAATGAGTAATATGTTGCCTAAGTGAATAAAGGCTTTGGAGATTACTTTAGCAGATCCGCAACTGTCATACAACTCTCTTGATGCTTTGCTAGCTGGGGATCTACCACTTTCCCATCCTTGTATTTCTTAATTGTGTCTATGTGTTTGAATGATGTACAGTTGCAAGAAAAAGTATATGAACCCTTTGGAATGATATGGATTTCTGCACAAATTGGTCATAAAATGTGATCTGATCATCATCTAAGTCACAACAATAGACAATCACAGTCTGCTTAAACTAATAACACACAAAGAATGAAATGTTGCTATGTTTTAATGAACACACCATGTAAACATTCACAGTGCAGGTGGAAAAAGTATGTGAACCCCTAGACTAATGACATCTCCAAGAGCTAATTGGAGTGAGATGTCAGCCAACTGGAGTCCAATCAATGAGATGAGATTGGAGGTGTTGGTTACAGCTGCCCTGCCCTATAAAAAACACACACCAGTTCTGGGTTTGCTTTTCACAAGAAGCATTGCCTGATGTGAATGATGCCTCGCACAAAAGAGCTCTCAGAAGACCTACGATTAAGAATTGTTGACTTGCATAAAGCTGGAAAGGGTTATAAAAGTATCTCCAAAAGCCTTGCTGTTCATCAGTCCACAGTAAGACAAATTGTCTATAAATGGAGAAAGTTCAGCACTGCTGCTACTCTCCCTAGGAGTGGCCATCCTGTAAAGATGACTGCAAGAGCACAGCGCAGACTGCTCAATGAGGTGAAGAAGAATCCTAGAGTGTCAGCTAAAGACTTACAAAAGTCACTGGCAAATGCTAACATCCCTGTTAGCGAATCTACAATACGTAAAACACTAAACAAGAATGGATTTCATGGGAGGATACCACAGAGGAAGCTACTGCTGTCCAAACAAAACATTGCTGCACGTTTACAGTTTGCACAAGAGCACCTGGATGTTCCACAGCAGTACTGGCAAAATATTCTGTGGACAGATGAAACCAGAGTTGAGTTGTTTGGAAGAAACACACAACACTATGTGTGACGAAAAAAAGGCACAGCACACCAACATCAAAACCTCATCCCAACTGTGAAGTATGGTGGTGGGGGCATCATGGTTTGGGGCTGCTTTGCTGCGTCAGGGCCTGGACGGATTGCTATCATTGAAGGAAAAATGAATACCCAAGTTTATCAAGACATTTTGCAGGAGAACTTAAGGCCATCTGTCTACCAGCTGAAGCTCAACAGAAGATGGGTGTTGCAACAGGACAATGACCCAAAGCATAGAAGTAAATCAACAACAGAATGGCTTAAACAGAAGAAAATACACCTTCTGAAGTGGCCCAGTCAGAGTCCTGACCTCAACCCGATTGAGATGCTGTGAATATTGCTGAACTGAAACAGTTCTGTAAAGTGGAATGGTCAAGAATTACCCGTTGTGCACGTCTGATCTGTAACTACAGGAAACGTTTGGTTGAAGTTATTGCTGCCAAAGGAGGTTCAACCAGTTATTAAATCCAAGGGTTCACATACTTTTTCCACCTGCACTGTGAATGCTTACATGGTGTGTTCAGTAAAAACATGGCAACATTTCATTCTTTGTGTGTTATTAGTTTAAGCAGACTGTGATTGTCTATTGTTGTGACTTAGATGATGATCAGATCACATTTTATGACCAATTTGTGCCGAAATCCATATCATTCCAAAGGGTTCACATACTTTTTCTTGCAACTGTAAGTATGTTTTGTATGCAGTATGTGTGTAAATGTAGTGTTGACATTTGAATGCAGTTGTGTGTTTGTATGTACTATTGCTATTTGAATGCAGGGCTGTATTTCTGTGCACATACATACAAATACACATACAAATACACATACATACAAATAGATCAGTGCCATCTTAACAACATTATGGGCCCCTGGGCAAAGCAGTGCACTATTGCCCTGCCTACACACAACTCACAGGAATAAAAATGTGAATTATAGATAAAATTAAGGTTATATTTATTAGTTCCTCCAACAAATGAAAAACCTACATACACACAGATTGCTGAACACATTCACACACCGACTCCTGAACACATACACACACAGACTGCTAAATACACAGACTGCTGAATACACACAGACAGTCCGCTGAATACATACACACAGTCCACTGAAAACATACACACAGTCCGCTGAATACACACACACAAATATAAACACACACTGCTGAATACACATGCAGACAGACTTCAGAATACACAGAGTGCGGAGTACACACAGACTGCTGAATACACACACACGCAATATGCTAAATATACACACACAGACTGCTGAATACACTCACACACACACACTGCTGAATACACATACAGACAGACTGCTGAATACACACACAGACAGAATGCAGAGTACACACAGACCGCTGAATACACACACACAAACTGCTGAATACATACAGGCTGCTAAATACATACACACACTGCTGAATACACACCCAGACAGAATGCTGAGTACACACAGTCTGCTGAATACACACATTCAAACATATACACAGACTGCTGAATACACACACACACATACTGGATTGAGGGGTGCAGTGTATGTGTTTGTGTGTACGAGTTCTGTGTGTGTATGTGTATGGGTTCTGTGTGTGAGGGGAGGGGGTGTGTGTCTGAGGTTTGCTGTGTGTGTCTGATGGGTGGTGTGTGAGTGAGAGAGAGGTGCTGTGTGTGTGTGTGTGTGAGAGAGGTGCTGTGTGTGATGAGTGTTGTGTGTGGGGAGGGGGTGATGTGTGTGTGTGTGTGAGGGGTTTTGTGTGTTGCTGGTGCTGTGTGTGGGGTGCTGTGTGCTGTGTGTGTGTGTGAGGGGTTTTGTGTGTGTGTGTGGGGGGTGCTGTGTGTGGGGAGAGTGCTGGGTGTGTGGGTTTTTTCAAGCTGTAAAAGGTCCATAACACCCTGACTGGATCCATGATTAGAGATTTAAGTGTTAGGGTCATCCAAACTGTCCTCCCAGATTTGTGGGCCCTGTGCGGTTGCAGCAGCATTATCGCAAGTAGTTCCAGTGTGGCTGGTAGAACAAGTTGGTAGGCTTTTGTTTAAAGGTGGAGTAGCTAACTGACATATGTTCACATTCCGAAATACAATTTTTCTCTTTCAGTGTGTGATGCCTTTATCGGTCTCAACAGCAATGACTTCTAATATAAAAACAAACATCTTTGTAAAGTCTGCTGATGATTTTGCCCGGGAGGCTCTAAACACTGTGGGTTACACAAACAGAACCAGTGGGTGTTTCTCTCACTCCCTTCAGGTACGTATTTTATAATCCTTTAGGGCTACTGTTATTCATCTTCAAATGTACTTATCATCGGGAGATTTTGTTATGTCTATGCTGGAGCTGTTCCGGATACAAAACAAAGTTTACTTTGAGAAATGTAAGACAAAAAGTTATGTTTTGTATAGACAGTTTCAGGGAGGGAGCAGTTATCTAACTAGAGACAGAGTAGAGACATTTCGTGGCAAAATCCAGGAGAAAGATCAGATAAGCGATATTAGGAAACATGTTGTTCTGGGCAAAAACAGAATGCATTCATGGTGTGAATAGAGCAGTGTAAAATAAGAACAGATAGGGGCCAAAAACATAACCTTGAAGCAATCCAACTGAAGGCAGCAGGGAGGTGAAAAAGTAGTAGAGAGCGGAAAAAAAAGACAATCAGAAAACAGTACAGACAAAACGTGTTTTACTGTCAGAGTGAATCACCAGTTCAATCATGCATGCATTTCACTTGTTGAAAAAGAGAATGATGGAAAACTGATTATGATCGGACAGAACATCAATATGGAAGATGGGTTATGTATGTGAGATAGAGATTAGTAATGCAGAATTTGCAAAGTATTAGTGTGACGGACCGACGTCACTAAGTACCATGTCCACTGCTTATTTGTGTGGTTTCCCCTTGTATTCTGTGTTCCCCCATGTATTTGTATGCATTTTGTGTTTTTTGCCTGTTCCCTATTCAGAAGAGCTCATACAAACGAAACCCGTTTGTCTCCCAAATGGGGGTCACACTGATTTCCCATTTAGAACGCTAATTAGATTAGCCCTACCTGATCCTAACGCAGCCATAATCAATAGGGATGTGCATGGGAAAAAATTTGGTTTGGTTAAGCACTTCCGAAATTCAGGACTTTGGCAATTCGGGACTACGGCAATTCCCTACCCCTACCCTAACCCTTTCCCTACCCCTAATCATACCCCTAGATGTGTAAGTGGTTGTGGTGGTTAGGCTTAGGGGTAGGGTTAGATTCCTGTCATCATTCACGTAATTTTCCCTCCCTCTCTTGTTTTGCCACTTTTCCGAAATCTGAAGCACTTCGGCACTTCCGAAATTCGGCGGTTCGGTTCGGCACTTCCAAAATACAGCACTTCGGAAATTGCTGAAATCCATCCGAATTTACATTCGGAATGAAACTAATTGCACATGTCTAATAATCACTGTTTCCCATACCCAGGAGCTGCGAGGCCAGGCTCGGAGCTGCCCAAAGAGGTATCCACCAGAGAGAGAGACACGGGCCCCAGCTGAATCCCAGGAGCTGTGAGTCGGCTGCACAGCCACAGAGGTCCCGCTGGCCGCCTGGAAGTCTGTGGAATAGGACTAAGAGCGCCCATTTAAACTGGGTTCACGCCATTCTCCTGATGGGACGGCACGAGTGAGTGCTGACAGGTCGCTGCGAGACACATGCGACCAATCAGATAAGGAGCGCCCATTCAAACAGGGTTTCTCACCCTTTCTCCTGAATGGGCGGTAAAAGCCCTCTTCTCCCTGAACGCTAATTGGCGCAGTTTGGTTTTGCGCCCTTTTCGCTGATTGTCTGGCGGAATGCCTTCTCTCCACGAGCGCTGATTGGCACGATTTGGTTTGCGCCCTTTTTCCGGATTGGCTGTTGCTTGCTTTAGGCACAAAGTTTGAATTCACCGGACTAACCCAAGCAACACTGTGGAACTAATTTCAGGAATGTACAGAGTCTCCAGCCCTAGACTTTATACGATGATTTCTCGGGCTCTGTAAATCCGATAGCCCCGCTATTTGCAGGGATCCTTGTTGGGATTTGGGGCTATCCAGGGAGATAGACATGTGTGACCCCTTTCCTTCCCGGGGCGCGGAGCCCCATAAGTTTACTCCATGTATGTAATGTGTCCTATTGTCTGTAAATATTGTGCTATTGGTATCTCCCAGAGTGCGAGATGGTTATCTGTAAACCATCCAACTCCAGCCTGGGATTGTGTTGAACTGAATGGAGACCTCCTGTGGTGGTCTGTGCATAAAAGCTGTGCACCAATAAAGATTGTCAGAGTTGTACCTCCAGAACTAAGTCTTGTCCAGTTACTGGGGAAGGGGAAGAAAGGATTAATCCCTGGACCACCTTGTCGCAGCTAGTGGAAGATGCAGCGGGGAAAGTCCTTGTAAGGACTGAGAGCTATTTCCCCAGCTAGGAAGCGGTCCCTGTAACGGAGGTAACCGGTCGGGTTGTGAGAGAGGTCCATTACAATTAACAACCTCGAAATTATACTAATTTACCAGCTTACGATTAGTCTTTTAAAATTGTGTGTGGAATTCCTTTTTTATTTTTAAACTCTCATGGAGGATAACTGATCAAAGAAAATGTATGTAATATCAGTAGTCAACCAGAACTTGCCATTTTTACAGGTGGGCATAATTACCTCCCAGCATTCATAAAATAGAATGAATTCTAAATCTACCTGAAGAATGCCTTTGACACATAGACTTTTATTATTCATTTCAATTTAAAAAATGTTTTCAAATTAAAAAAAAAAAAAAAGTTGCAGGGTTTATTTTCTGCACAGTTAGCTAGAAACATTACCATTATTAACATTGCAGTGATACATTTCTTTCTGACTAATTTCTTTTTCCTTTTAATTTTATTCAATTTCCTTTTATTTTATAGAGCTATGCCTTGGATTTAATTCCTAAGCCTGTGTTTTCAATGACAACTGTGACAGATCTCTTTGAGAATCTAGTGAACAAGCAAAAGAAGAAAGAAAAATGAACAAGATTGATGAGACTTCAATACAACAAGAAAAAAAATAATAATAAAAATATTCAACCAAACATACATTTATTATTCTTACTTTATATTAAAGTGTGTATTATTTATATGCTAAAATACAGGTCTCACATATCAAAAAAATGGACCTGAAAATTATACATATACAGATAGACACAATACATTCTCCCAGATAATCTTGTGGGGGGTTCTAACCCATCTTATCCTCCATAAAACGGGTTAGAATTCCCCCCCCCCCAGTAATATTCTGGTTAACTTACAGCCAACATCCTAAGAATAGAGGGGGAGCTGGGGGGGGGGGGCAGGGACAGTGATGCAATTGCACCAGGGGCTTTGTTCAAAGGGGGCCGAGCCACTTGAAAAGTATGCCTGCTAATTAAGCATGTTAGCCCAATGTCTTAAAGCTCTTTGCAGGGTCTTAGTCAGGGTCTTAGTGTCCTGAGTGCAGCCTGAGCAAGTCTACTAATGCTCTCCCACTACACTTTTTGGGGACAGTTCAATGGTGTCCCCAAAATAAGACACCAAAGAACAAAGCCCGGGGAAGTGAGACAGGACACGAAAATCGTGACTATCCCTCCAAAATCAGTATGGTTAAAAGGCATAACTTAAGATTCCATGCCTGGGTATGTGCTGTGCAGCCGGGCTGGATGATGTTGGCTCCCCCCCCCCATCCATTTTTCTGGAGGAATCTATCATAAGAGGTATGGAGTTGGACAATCGTGGCTTTGTGAGATGTCTTCCTGGAGCTACTGCTCGTAAAGACATTAGACATGTTTTTAATATTGTTAAGAAAGCAAAGGGGGAATTGGATGTTCTTGTCCATCTAGGGACAAATGACTTGGCTTGCAATGGAGTTTCAGAGGTAAAGGAAGTGTTTTGTGCTCTTGTCAATGATGTACAGCCGGTTGTGTCCGCATAACATTCAGAATTATAGGCGGAAGTGTATTAGGGACTTTAACTTGTGGCTTGGTAAATGGTGTCGGGAGCAAGGATTTGACTTTGTTTCTCATGGTAACTCTAGTTGGACTAAAAATTTACTTTACAAAAGAGATAGTTTGCATCTTTCTCAAAAGGAAACAAGTGTTCTCAGTGAGCAGTTCAGAGGTTTTGCTTGGAAGTATTTAAACAGAGGGATGGGGGGGGGGGTAAAGAATGATAAAAACATAAATCAAATCGCCCCCTAAAACAAGGACGGAAAGTGCCAGTAGCAAGGGTTAAAAATGATAAGTATTGATTCATGTCTACAAATGCTCGCAGTTTAGGGAATAAGATCCATGAACTTGTGGCAATAATCACAACTGATAGTGTAGATTTAGTCGCTGTTACTGAGACATGGTATAATGAGAAAAATGACTGGGACATAGCAATACCAGGGTACTCTTTATATAGAAAAGACAGGCAAGGCAAGAAAGGGGGAGGATGGCCTTGTATGTGAAGGATAGCATAACATCTAGCCTAATAAAAGTTAGTGAGACGAACATAGAGTCCGTTTGGGTTACATTAGAATTTGGTAATCACACAGTAACTGGTGTAGCTGTGATTTATAGGCAAATAGAAGCGTTACATAATCTGCTAGTTAAGGAGATAGCTGAAAAAACATTGAAGGGAGAAGTTATCATCATGGGTGACTTTAATCTCCCTGATATGAACTGGAAAAACAAAATAGCTGTTTGTGCCAGGAGCACACATTCTAAACTCCCTACTGGGATTGTCTCTAAAACAAGTCATTGAGGAGCCAACTTGTAAGGAGGCCATACTAGATTTAGTGTTAACAAATGGAGATTTGGTATCAGATATTACTGTAGGTGAAGATCAAGTGCTCACCAGTCGGTGTGGTTTAATATAAAAACAGTGACGGATAAACACCACACAAAAACGAAAGTATTAGATTTTAGAAAAACAAACATTTCTAAACTTAGAATATTCGTATAGGAGTCATTCTCAGAATTGAGTGGTTTAAATGGAGTACAGGAGAAAGAGGATCATTTAAAAGTTGCACTACTGAAGGCAACAGAAAATTGCATAAAGCTTGTCAGTAAGAGCAAAAAAGTGAAGAAATGATGGTGGTACTTTGCAGAAGTGGCCAAAATAGTAAAACAAAACAAAAGATTTGGATTTAGTAATTATAAAAAAAAAAAAAACAGAGTGAGGAAGGTAGACAGATCTATAAGAATAGGAAACAAAAAGATTACCCGTGCACTCAAAGTGTTAAAGCCACAGGCAGTTTTAATAAAACAAAACAGAACAGCAACGTTTCAACCTCATAATATGCATCCCAGAAAACTATAAAAACGCATGGCGTAAATTGCCTTGTTAGCGCAGTAGGTAGCGCATCAGTCTCATAACCTGACGGTCGTGAGTTCGATCCTCACACAGTGCATGTATATATTGTAAGGAATACAGAAATCCGGCATGTGGCAAAGGGCAGATTAAAAACCCATATGCCTAATTTCTAAGTCCCTGAGTCTATTCTGCTTTCTATTTTATTTTGTCTGTAACAAGTAGAAAGTCACTGATTACCTCCAGTAGAATAGGTACCCCTGGTGTAAATCGCCTTGTTAGCGCAGTAAGTAGCGCGTCAGTCTCATAATCTGAAGGTCGCGAGTTCGATCCTCACACAGGGCATGTATATTTTGTAAGGAATAGAGAAATCCGGCATGTGTTCACACCAATTAAACAGTTTCATTGAGCAACAATCCCATCAGGACAGGACCATATATTGGCAAAATTCCATCAAATCATATCTAAACAAGTTAGAGGATGGGACACTTTGAAGAATGTTCTTTGTTACTTCAGTATGAATTTTTGCCACTCTGAAACCCATTCAACTTGGGATGAAAGAGAAGCACAGCATTAAAATGTTTCTTGTGGATCGCCTTTCGATAATTTCAGCCTCCACCTCCCCATGCATTTCAGAGAGGATACAAACAGCATGAGGTAAACTCAATTCATGATTTATGCACCCCTAAAGCTATGTTTATAACATATGCCGAGGACTTTGAAACTCTTGTCCACAGTGGCCAGTTATACAGCAGGTCTAATGCTTTTGTTATGCTTATTATAAAGAAACCATGCTACTAATGTAATGACCAGAAGTTATCCAAATTGGAACTGGTGAGCGCAAAATAAATTGTAGGTCTATCATTGTGGTTTGGAGAAGTGCAAAATAATCTATCTTGGTTTTACAGTTCCATAGGGCAGATTAAAAACCCATATGCCTAATTTCTAAGTCCCTGTGTCTATTCTGCTTTCTATTTTATTTTGTCTGTAACAAGTAGAAAGTCACTGATTACCTGCAGTAGAATAGGTACCCCAAATGTGTGAGAAGGCTAAAAGGCTTGTTTGAAAAATACACCTATTTCATTTTATTTTAGAACAAACGTTCACTATATGCATGTATCCCAGAAGACTATAAAAGCACATTGCGTAAATTGCCTTGTTAGCGCAGTAGGTAGCGCGTCAGTCTCATAATCTGAAGGTCGTGAGTTCGATCCTCACACAGGGCATGTATATTTTGTAAGGAATAGAGAAATCCGGCATGTGTTCACACCAATTAAACAGTTTCATTGAGCAACAATCCCATCAGGACAGGACCATATATTTGCAAAATTCCATGAAATCATATCTAAACAAGTTAGAGGATGGGACACTTTGAAGAATGTTCTTTGTTACTTCAGTATGAATTTTTGCCACTCTGAAACCCATTCAACTTGGGATGAAAGAGAAGCACAGCATTAAAATGTTTCTTGTGGATCGCCTTTCGATAATTTCAGCCTCCACCTCCCCATGCATTTCAGAGAGGATACAAACAGCATGAGATAAACTCAATTCATGATTTAAGCACCCCTAAAGCTATGTTTATAACATATGCCGAGGACTTTGAAACTCTTGTCCACAGTGGCCAGTTATACAGCAGGTCTAATGCTTTTGTTATGCTTATTATAAAGAAACCATGCTACTAATGTAATGACCAGAAGTTATCCAAATTGGAACTGGTGAGCGCAAAATAAATTGTAGGTCTATCATTGTGGTTTGGAGAAGTGCAAAATAATCTATCTTGGTTTTACAGTTCCATAGGGCAGATTAAAAACCCATATGCCTAATTTCTAAGTCCCTGTGTCTATTCTGCTTTCTATTTTATTTTGTCTGTAACAAGTAGAAAGTCACTGATTACCAGCACTAGAATAGTTACCCCAAATGTGTGAGAAGGCTAAAAGGTTTGTTTGGAAAATACACCCATTTCATTTTATTTTCGAACAAACGTTCACTATATGCATGTATCCCAGAAAACTATAAAAACACATGGCGTAAATTGCCTTGTTAGCGCAGTAGGTAGCGCGTCAGTCTCATAATCTGAAGGTCGTGAGTTCGATCCTCACACAGGGCATGTATATTTTGTACGGAATAGAGAAATCCGGCATGTGTTCACACCAATTAAACAGTTTCTTTGAGCAACAATCCCTTCAGGACAGGACCATATATTGGCAAAATTCCATCAAATCATATCTAGACAAGTTAGAGGATGGGACACTTTGAAGAATATTCTTTGTTACATCAGTATGAATTTTTGCCACTCTGAAACCCATTCAACTTGGGATGAAAGAGAAGCTCAGCATCAAAATGTGTCTTGGGGATCGCCTTTCGATAATTTCAGCCTCCACCTCCCCATGCATTTCAGAGACGATACAAACAGCATGAGGTCAACTGTCAGGTATACTCTATCATTCATGCTGCCGCCGGAACCCACTTCCGGGTTCACGGCGCTTAGCCCCGCCCCTTTCTCTGACGCGGTCCTTCCACGATACTTAGGAAGACCGCGCCAGATTCAAAGGGCTGGATTATTCACTCAGGTGCTGCATTGAGATCAGCTGCTCTACTTGATGCTACCGGCTCCACTCCTCTCCCGACCTCGGCTTGTAAACAGATTTCTACCTTCTCCACTTCTCGACCTCGGCTTGTAAAACGGACTTCTACCTTCTCCA